CCTCCCCAGCCGATGGGACATCGGCAGAAGTAGGTACTCCCAATTCTTTCACAAGTTCCTCCATTCTCGCATGGGTCGGTGATCCAGCTGTCACAAATGTGAGCATCCAATTCTGAGAGGGCAGAGATGTTATACAAACCACACAGAGTCATGAGACAGTATAGTAATAAAGATATGAAACTGTACCAGAGGGCCCAAATGTACAATTGGCCAAAAGAAAAGGAAAAAAGAACAGAAGGTGAATGCAGCTTTGCGAGTAAACTATGAAGATGGAACCTTGTTTCTCATGGGGGCGAAGTTAATGCAACCAAGTTTTTGGGTGGGTTGAGGAACCATGCCTGGCGTACATGTAGGTTGAATCCAGAATCTGAGGTAAGGGAATGCTTTTATACATTGTCAACTATGAGTCTGCGAGAATGAGTCATTCATATGGGACTCAACTTGAAGGCCCCATCGTTCCATAAAAAAATTCTAGCTCAAGACTTACGTGAGCGATTCTGAGCCAAAATGGGCTAGGAGATGTCAGGCAGCTCAAAAGCAAAACTCAAAAACTGCATTCCAAGACTGGGACTGGCATCAGGGGTGTGCACACTCATATGTTCCTTGCAGTATGTGCTTTTGCAATTACATCCAAGAGCCTGAATTTGGAAAGTTCCACTCACCAGTTTCACAGTTGTGTCCGGTATATTGCAGTGGACAGTAGCAAGAATAGATTCCAAAGAAGGAATCGCATGTTCCACCATTCAGACAAGGCATGCCACTACAGATGGGGTCCACTGAAACATAAGGAAGTAATAAGATATTCTTGTCAGCAAAATGTAATTTGTTTTCAAACTGCACTTTATTTGAAAGAAAAAACACTCTCAGAAAACAATATTTCAAAAACCCAGCTGGGAGAAAAAACTCCAGTCGTGTGGCAATGTAAACCGAAAAAAAATAAACATTTTACTGGCCTCACTCTGGTTTTAATCTGCCATTTCCGCTGTCATTTCCAAGGCCCTACCTTCAGAGCAATTCAGTCCTTGCCAACCACTGCTACAAATGCAGTATGGCTCGCCAAAAAAATCGTCACACGTTCCACCGTTCTGGCAATCCAGCTCATCACAGGACGTAGGAAAGGCTGTCAATTTTTAAGAACACGAAATATATTTTCTTTTGTAGGGAGGTCAATGCTACATTAAGAAAGGAAAGAATTTCTGAGAAAAACCAAGTACAATGGGAAAGGCAAGACAGGTTGCAGGTCAGAGGCTTTGCACTGACGTTTCTTGAGTGATGTGGAACAAAAGATGTTAACGACTATAGACTGGCCGAAGAATGGGGTATTTTTGATGCTCACTTTGCACATGGAAACGTGAAAAATTCACCACTGTCAATAACAAATTAGAAAAAGATGCATTTTAAAGCTCCAAATAGGAATCACTCAGAAATTCGAATATTTAGAATCTGACACACTAGAATCTGACATACTGAAGGTCAAAAAAGAGAACAAGAAGACTTGTTGCAATTGCAACTTACCTATTTCACACCTTTCACCTCCCCAGCCACTTGAACAGTAACAAAAATAGCTGTAACTGCTGTAACTTAAACAAACGCCACCATTCATGCAAGGGTTGGAATGGCAGGGGTCCGTATACTCTGTGAAACAAATACAAGCAGTGGGTGCATATAATGGACAAAAAATAAAAAGGGATGAGAATGGGTCAGTGTTGTCATGGCAATATGGATTCACAATCAAGGGGCTTCACCGGACAAGTCGTACTCCAATGCGAAGCAATACCAACCAAAAAAAAAATTCTACTTGAGTCCAAAATGCCAAAAAAAGGTTCAGGTAGTAAATTGCGCATGGGTTAGACATAAATTTGAGGGTAGACTCCTGGTTACTTTTTGGACATAAAAATGCTCTTTGAATTTCAGTTCATGCAACTGCACATAACTCGTACATCACTTATGCCAGATTGTGTTCCTTGAAGAAGTTGTGACTTGCATCACGAAAGATAATGGAGGAACTTGTGCAGTCAGGTTTAGGTGGTTAAAGTTCCAGTGAACAAAGTAGCAAATGGTCTGGTTTCCTAAGACTGATTGCTCTCATTCGGCAAAAAGAAATACGGTTCTCCGAATAAAATCTCTTCAGATGGTAGTCTTCTTTGCCAAATTTAGAATCAGAAACTGCAACCGCCATTAGTTTTTATCAGTGACAATTTCAACAGGGGCCAATGTAAAAAAATGAAACACCTGCATGTATAGCTATGTGAAAACCTTTTCAATTTTGCACATAGCATGAATGGAACTTGTTTTACACTGTTGATTTAGAAACGTTTTAGTTCTCAAGAAATATTGTAACTAAGTTCACACCCAAGGGTGAAAAAATGTAATCAAGGGAATGTGGGTGTACACGAATAGCTAACAAATCAAAATGCCAACAGCTCCCTGAGCCTCTGATCATGACGTAGTGTACACACTCAATCCTAGTTTGTTGCATGCAGAACACACACACACACATCTGGGAAGCCAGTTGTGGAGAGTCCCCACTGAAGACGGACTGTGTGTTTAAGTTGAACTTGGACACTGTGCACAGCCCAAGTTGCCCCAAAATTCACTGTATTTGATCTTAGAGTGTCGCAAGTTATCAGGATGCAGTGAGATATACATGTGGAGCATGACCGCATTTCACAAACAGCTTTCACCATGGCCAATATCGACGACATTCATTTGGCCGTATTTGATAAACAACTTTCACTGGCCAGTATCGACGGCATTCATTTGGCCGTATTTGATAAACAGCTTTCACCATGGCCAATATCGACGACATTCATTTGGCCGTATTTGATAAACAACTTTCACCATGGCCAATATCGACGGCATTCATTTGGCCGTATTTGACAAACAGCTTTCACCGGCCAGTATCGACGGCATTCATTTGGCCGTATTTGATAAACAGCTTTTACTGGCCAATATCGACGGCATTCATTTGGCTGTATTTGACAAACAGCTTTCACTGGCCAATATCGATGGCATTCATTTGGCTGTATTTGACAAACAGCTTTTACTGGCCAGTATCGATGGCATTATTTGGCCGTATTTGAGAAATCAGCTGATATATATCTTGCTTTTTTTGGCAGAAATCAGGTTTTGGGCCAAAATTAATACAGTCAACAGATAGTCAGTACGTACAATAGTAAGCAAGATAAACTTCATGCTGGCCACTGCAATGAACATTGAAGTGGCCAATGAATTTGTTGGGCCCCCCATGAACCCCTGGGCCCCCTCTCAATGTTGGGTCGCACTCCAGCTCGAGATGGCAACACTGACCGGGAGACTAAGGGATCTGGAAAGGGTATGGCTATTGGCACGTTTCCCAAGAAGTTTGTCCAGGATTGTAGGTACCGACCTCCTGCACATTATTTTTGCACTGTGATCTTCAGAGTCTTCCCATGACGTGTTTCTTGTACAAACCTGACTCGCAGTGCTCGCCCTCCCAACCAGGATCGCAAATGCAGAAGGCGAACGTGTGGAAGCTGCTGCAAAGCCCATGCATGCTGCAGTTGAAGTTATCACAGGGATTAACTATGGCTGTCGATGGACAAAGACAAAAAACAAAATTAATTATTAATTAATTTAATAATTTTTTATAAACTGTTTCAAGGTAGGGTCATAGATTGGTTTCTGAGAAGGGAATGCTGACTGTTAGGCAAAATTAACAAGAAAGATGTAATTCAAGTCACCTGTGAAAGTTTCAGTTCCAAATAGTTCTTACTTCTTGAGAAAACAGTAAAAAAAACTGTCACGGTATTTTCCACATAAACATTGAATCCATTCACGATTGGTGAGATGAAAAAGAACTGTGGTTGTGATCGTAATAGCGCCACCTCGGTCGGTTATTTTTCTTCGTAGCTAATTGCTTTTGTTTTGGGAAGATCTTAGCAGTAACATGAACTTTTTTGGGTTTTTTATATTTTATGTGTTTTGGTATGCATGCTTTTAGGTTTGGCAACCTTTTCTGGACTTCTACTACAGTTTTTGTGACCTAGCCTAACAAGACAGTAAAGAAATGCTACAACTTAAAAATGAAGACAACAGATTGTAGTGAGGTGCAGCTGGAGTGAATTTGGAGGGGGGTGGGGAATTACCAGTACCTTGGAATAAGGGTTCATCAGGGGCAGAAAAGGGGTCCATCAGGGGCAGAAAAAGGGTTCATGGGGGAAGAAAAAGGGTTCATCAGGGGAAGAAAAAGGGTTCATCAGGGGCAGAAAAGGGGTCCATCAGGGGCAGAAAAGGGGTCCATCAGGGGCAGAA